TTCATTCCACAACCTAATTGTCCGTGGGAGAAAGCCCCTCTGAAACCGCACAGTACGTAGGTAGGTACGAGTAGAAATCTTATAGCCCGACTGCCCACAATTGACATCAGTGTTTAAATTTACCAGTCCCTGTAATAGGATCGTTGACCTTCTGTCGTCACCATTTATAAGAACTAAATTAGCTCTCAATTCACCAGTCTCCCGTCTATCCAGATTACCCAACGAGTATAGTGCAACATTGGACGTGTCCTCGGACACGCTTACACGTATCTGTTGGGCAATACCTAGCAAGTAAACGTACTAATATTTTTTCTGTTGTTTTTCCATGATCCTTAAATATTATATTTATCGTGTTATGTGCAAGTAGTGTGTTCTCTAACTAGTTGTGCATCTAGAGAGATGCGAGACTATTCCAGTGACGTTTGTACCCTGTTATTTACTGTTCTATTACTTGCAATATACCTATACATGTCCCATCATCAAAATAATGAATTAATTTTAAGCAAGTCTCACAAATTTAATTATTTTGCAACGAATATCTATGTATCAAGGTGGAAACTGAAAAGCAGCTCGTAATGCTGAAGCTCCATCCCTTTCATTACCACTAGATACCACAACATTTCCGAAACTACCTCTATTACTTTTTGTGCTTATTATTACTATCTATATTAAATGGAATTTGTAATCGAAGTAACAACGGCACAGGAGTCTAAATTTTTTTTTAAATAGGCTTTTCGATGTTGCTATCAGCGACCTTGTCTGAATGACGAAAGGTACGGTGTAAGATTTCTAGTAATAATAATGTGGCAGATAATACCGGAATACCCAGACGAGAACCTGCTTAGAAAAATTCATTTCATCTAAGTAGCGCCCACATTGCTAAAATGCTAGTCAAAAGCAGTGGTGGGTTTTGATAGTGTCGTTTATATTTCGGCTCACGCAGATAAGTACTTTTACTACCTTACATAATCCCAGTAGGTATCACTAATGAGTTCACATACTCTTTTATCTAATTCTGCTCTCTGACGAATCAGTCGTGCGCCTGGTGGTAAGCGACTCGCCTGTTCAACAGTTTTTTTTTTTTTTTTTTTAATTTATTGACCAAAAAACAGGAAAAGAAAAATACTTAATAAATAAATACAATCATCGCTCACAAAAGCCCTTCCGGCTTTATCCGCGGCGAAGGAGTTCATACATGTTACAATTAAGTTTGAAACGAACGTTTTTAAAACTCGTATAAATACAGTCTTATCTCATCATGTGTACAAAAAAACTAAAATTAAACACTACTTATGCTAAGTATAGGAAAAAAATGCTAAATTGCGTACATATATAATATCAAATATAACAGTTTACAAAAAATATTCCATATCATTGTTTAAAAAATGTTTCTTAATATATAATTTATAGTTTCTGCTATTACGACAATTACATACGAATTCCTCACTCATTTTATTCATTAATGCGGGTAACAAATATTTCCAATTTCTTTTACCGTAAAAGTTGTTGTATTTCGGTATTATAAATTTCTTTTGATTAATAATTTTTCTTAATGCAGTAGGACGAGAGTACGTGAGAGTTGCAGTGTTAGTCAGAGCTTTAATATCGAAAAGAGACAAGGGACACTGCCACTGCCACTCTCTCATCTATTCCCATTTTTCTTCGATTGTTTGTTAATCCCCGCCGCAAAAAGAGTTAAAAGTTGAAGCATTTGTCATCTGTCTGTGACGTCATAACTTAAGGCGATTTATTAACAATGTTGACGTGTCATTGTCATTACTCATTAAATATCAAAGAAAACAATTAATAATAATTTTTTCCAGGTAATTTGTATTTTCCATGCATCCAAAAATCACAAATGCAATCTCATACATTGAAAACGCTATTATCCCATCAACGCAGTATTATCACAAAGTGAGAGCCCGTATAAGCCACTTGAATCAATAAAGTCCCCTCTATATATTTTAATAGTCTATGAAAGGACAGAATGCGACGCTTCCTGTTGGTTAGCGGAAGACGCCGATTGGTCCAATTGTGGAGTCATTCGCCAATCAGCGTTTAGATGTGACCAATTTGAATCTCGAAGTTGAAAGATCTTAACGTTTGTGCAGAATATCGTCAAATTATTGTACAAATATCTGAATATCCAGTATTTTAACTATCCAAATATCAGATTACAACTATCAAGAAAAAACTAAAAAAATCTCCAGGGAAGCACTTTACCTTACCTATTTCTGCTGCCGAGCAGTAATGTCAGCATTGTTGTGTTCGGGTTTTGAAGGATAAGGGTGCTGGTCAAATTACAGGCACATGGGTCTTGTCAACTTATGTCTCAGGGTGACAGGCGCAGTGGCAGTGCCCCTCAGATCTTTGCGATTTAAAGCTCTGAGTTGCACTGCAACTGTTAAGGACAGGCATGTAGCTTACTGTCAGGCGCACGACTTCTTCGTCCCGTCACTTGATGTTATAAAAAAAATCAAGAATAAATTCAACCAAAAAAGATTGTATAAGACGCAACTTGGCATACTTTAGTGGCTAATAAAATTTAGCGTTGTGTGTTTTTAACCCCGACGTAAAAATAGAGGGTAATAATTATAAGTTTGAAGAATTTGTGTATCGTGTGTGTCTGTCTGTGTCTCCCAAACATTTAAAAAAAATTAATTTATTCTTCTTTTATTTGACTTAAGGCTAATACCTACATATATAAACGGAAGGTTATTTTAAGTTTGGGGGATTCTTAGCAATGTTTGATCTATCTATACATATATTTTATTTATACAACTATTCAACTGTTTAAAGACCATACTGCATAACTGCCTCCCTGGCCGAACGGCTACCATGCCGGACTGCCACGGACTGCTACATTTATTTCTCTCGTGAGTTTGGGTGTAATTTGTGGTTGTCTATATATGTGCCCAAGGCACCTGTGACACAGCGTTTCCCTAGCGCGGGGCTGTGTTGAGTGTGTGCGTGAAAAAAAAGCTATTTTCCCAGTCAGTGTAGGATGCACGAAAGGAGCCTCCCCGCGCCATGATTCGCTGAGTACCCTACACTGATTGGCAAATCCTTTCACCACGATAGCGGGCATTTTAGAGGTGGACGTTTACACGAAAAGCACTTAAAAAAGTTTGCTTTTTTAAAATAAGCACGCTTTTCAATTTAAAGCGATAACAACGTGCTTATGTTTTAAGTACCGCTTTTTTGTCCTAAACAAATTAATTCATCAATTCATCAATGTGAATAATATTTTAAATAAAACTCGTGTTTTACAAATAAACTTACATAATTTATCTTAAAATGTTTAGTGGTCTATTCTTGCTTTTCGGTATCAACACAACGTTGCAAGCTTTTTTAAAATAAAAGTGTTCGCGCTTAAACGTTTTTCTAAACGATTTTTTAAGCTTCAAACTAAAAAGCGTTTAAAAAACGTTTTTTTAAAAAAAGCACAACGTTTAACTTTTAAAAAAATAAGCAGTTTTTCCCATCTCTAATTAAAGTATATACTTTTTTTTCCATCCTCTTAGGTGTGTGCCATTGATACGATAAGAAATGTAGGGATAACATTCATAAAATGAATATTTCTTTACTTCCACTTGTCAGATCGAGTTGAAATTTATTATAAGTAGGTACTATGGAAATCCGACGGCATTACAATAATATGTTAACTTTGATCTGATGAAGACAGTAGACTACCCAATTCACCTACCTACTTACACTAGAATTATCGTGTTTGGGCTCTTTATATTGGTTTTTATTTACATAGTGTGCCCCTACCATGAGATTACAAAGACAGTTGTCGCTAGCGACTTTGTAAAATGTTTAACAATTTTGTATGGCAAAATTGAACAGCGCCCCTAGCGTTGACGAGAAGTATGTATTTTGAATGCAAATATTTGAAGTTGTCGCTAACCCCCGTTTACACGGCATTGGCTGCATTTTTTGCAGTGTAAATCCGAACCGAATAAACAGTTGCGCATACTTTATAATAGAACCGTTCACATGTTATTTGTACTGTAAAAAACGCACACACTACAAACGCACATCGAATACTGCAAAAAAACGCGGGCGCATTTATTCGACACGAATTTCCGCCGCGTGGTCGCCGCGCAGCGACCGCGTGCTTCTAACTTTCATGGTAAAGTACGCTCAATTTGTTTAATGAGCATACCGGACGCGGGCGAGGCTGGCTTGTGTTTGGTCTACGCGACGACCGCGCGGTAGTATTATTCAGAGGAATTTCAATGTTGTTGCCTAGTAAATAGAATTCAGATTCGCCATTAATGTACATGAAAGCGTGGTAACTGGGCGATCGCCGCGCGGTGGCTGTGCGAAGATTTTCGCGTCGTGTAACTGGGCGCTTACTGCTCATTCTACAGGCACTGTTTTAAATTCAGTTTTAAAACTTACATTTCCATTGAAACTGGATTTTAAAACACGACGTAAATATTTTAAAACAGTCGTTAAACTTAACATTTTTTTTTGGAAATGTCGCTACCTTTCCACAACGATATTATAATCAATAGTTAGAAATAGGTGCGCTTAGTGGACAATGTTTGCTTATTAAAGATCCAATCGTAACAAAATTGTCAAAGAAAAGGAGCACTTTAACTACCACGGAATTAAGGCAACGGATTTAAAGCAAGTAGAGAGTCGTGGGTTCAAATTCGGACTTGCACCTCCGAGTTTCGGAATTTAATTTGCTGTTGAAAGCTGTTCGCTGAAGTAAAACATTGTGACGAAACCGGCACACATCTGCGAATAATAATAATAATATATTGGGTCCGCGTGAGAACTACAACCCAAGTTCTCTCATTGTAAGGGGAGACTTGTGCCCAGTAGTGAAACTCTATATACGCTAACTATTATTATAGATCAAAATTATATCAAGTGAATGAGGGCGATTGTAGATATTACACTGTTCATTAATAATAAGGAATAAAAAAAATATATATGAAATAGTATTGAAAACAATTTTAATAACTTTGTAAATATGTATTATACATTGATTGTAATTTACTTTTGACATAAAATAACAAAATAAAATAAATGCATTCGAAAAAATTAAAAAGACCTTAATTCAATGACAATACGTACGTTTTTCTTTGTACATTATTTTGTTCCTTCCACTCACAAGATTATTGCTTTTGATATAAAAATTTTATGTATATTACAAGATTTTTATTTCTTAAATAAGTTATAGAAAGGTATAAGAACATACGTCAAAATTGACCTTGAATTGATATTTTCCCTAGAATATAAAAGCTGATAAGATTTTGTACGATCCTGAACGCAATTTCAGGGCCTAACATTACGCTCCAATGCCCTTAAGAATAATATTAATAAGGGATCCTTGTAGACTACAGAGCCATGTCAATGATGTAAGTTTTTCTATTATAGATGCACGGTCTGTAAGGTCTATAAATGGTGCAAATCTAACTGGCTGTTCCTAGTGTTACTACAGGTAAAAAATAATAGTACTTTTCATCCAAAAAAAATCCTTTTCTTCTCATATGTCAAATTGTAATTTGCTTTTTTTAATAAACGTTATAGAAAGTATTTAGGGCGTCTGCTTATCATTCCAGATGTGCCACTCGTAATATCATAGTTTCCTGAGAATGTCTTCTTCGTCGCCTCTTCACAGACGCTACATCGAAGTTGTTTCATTCATCTTTCTCTAGAGTATGAAGAATGTAATATATGTAATAATAATATCGGTAAAAAACCCCTTAGGGTGAGATCAGACGAGAGTAAATTAAGCGACTCAAAAAACGCGACTGCCAAGTCACAAAATTACGCTCGTCTGGCCTCACTCTTAATCTTTGTTACTTAAGATACACTAGTATTCCTAGTTATTAGCCGATTGTAACTTGATTTTTATTAAAATTCTTCAACTCTAGTTTCGAGCAAGCCAATCTTCTGAATCTCACTGGCGATGACGTCACCGGGCTTGAGGTACTCTGGTGGACTGCGGTACATGCCCACTCCACCTGGAGTACCGGTAAGTAGAATATCACCTGGGAGTAATGTCATTAACCTGGAAAGGATAAGGCACCATTATGCTCTCATTTAGTTCAGGACAGTTTAACAACATTGTTTGTAACGAAACTCAGTCTAAAAGTTTCTAAAAATTCATAAATCTTGAAGATAAATATGGTCAAGGATATAGGAGATGTAATATTACAAAGACCGAACAAACATAAAGGACCAGCAACTGTTGCCTAAATGTGGCTGCCGCTCTACTCGTATTTTTTTTTATTTGTTCGATCTTTTTATCAATAATAATAACAAACTGGGGGGTAGTTTCACAAAAAAATAAATTAATATTATGGTAGTAAAAACAATGGTACTCAATAGGAATAAAAATATTGCAATGTATTAAATAATGTGTCAAACAACCTCACCAATTGCCTAGTTTAAAACTAGAGAGTTCCCAGTATTACGAATACCCAGAACACTAAAAATAATAATCAGCAGACGAAACTAGGTGTGACAAGCTGTAACATGGCTTAAAAAATAAAATCATATTACAATAGTGATGTGAATTAGTTTTCGTGAAAAAAAAAAAATTTTTAAGGATTTAGAAAAATTACATTTAACAATGTTTATACAATTTTATCTTATAATTCATGCTAAATAAAACTTTAAAATGTATAATATCTGAACGTAGAACATAATGAGTCTTCGGATTATATTTTTCCAATTTTTCAGAACTTTGGAAAAATGTTATTACTTATTTGAAATTTTTCGGAAAATTACTCAACACTACACACTCATAACATTTAAAATTCAAACATATTAGCGTCCATTAAGTATAGATTAAGTAATTCTGTAACTCAACGTATACAATAAGGCCTAAAATTTACAATAGATTACCTGATGAGGTCATCGAAGTGACAAAAGGTCATTTTAAATTAAAATTAATGTATTGGTTGCTTGGTATGACGTAATTATTTAAGTAATCTGTTATATTATTGAAGAGCAATTATTTTAATTATTATTATCAATATATATTTGTGTGTTTTCTCTATTCACTATATACAGCGTTATTTATAAAATAATAACCTCGCAGGGCTATATTACTAACATCATAAACAACAATTTTTGTTCCATGACTTTTAATAATACATCAGATTTTACTTTCATATAAAAATAAAGATATTGAAACAGATCGCTCTAAACGATGATAATGCTGTGCAGTAACAAAAGGAAGTGCTAGCGTACAAGCCTTAGGTGGTAAGCGACACGTCTACCCGTAACAATTGCAGTGCCACTCAGAGCTTCAAATAGCAAAGATCTGAGGGACACTGACAATGCGTCCGTCACCCTGAGACATAAGTTAACAAGTCCCGTGTGCCTGTAATTAAAGTGTGCGACGGAATTGCATAATTTGATTCCGCCTTCCCCTTTCCATCATCGGGGAACTAGACGAGTGTTGGCATTCCACCCCTACGTTGTGGATATTCCCAGGATTCGCACGAAGCGTTTCGCTTCCACATTTAGGCTCAACTCACACTGGCGCAGAGCCGAAGCGTCGCGTCGCGTCCTGGTTTTCAACTACAACGCGTGGCGACACGCGTCGTTGCGCGACGACTCTCGCATTAGCGCGCCCGGATCACAGCGTGGTCGGTGTCTGACATCTCACTGCGCGCAAGGAACGCACGGCGACGCGCGAACCTTACTAATGGGAAAATAGAGATGAATGTGCTATAGGCGAAAAACATGACGCGTCGCGACTCTTCGACTCTGCGCCAGTGTGAGTTGAGCCTTATATGGCGAGCGGCTAGGCAATGGAATTCCCTGCCTACTGACGTATTCCCCGAACGCTATAACTTGGACCTTTTCAAGGCAAGAGTGAATAGGCATTATTAGGTGTGCGTGCTACATCGACTACCTCATCATCACTTTTCATCAGGTGAGATGGTGAGATGGAGGTCTAATACGCACTTATTTTTAATAAAAAAAAATTCACCAGCATCTTCATCTGTCAAAACCGGAACGCAGTAATGCTAACATTACTGCTTGACGGGAGAAATAGATAAGGTGGCAGTACGTTCCTGGACGAACTCTTTCACAAGAAGCTATACTGCTACTAAATTCACATTGTACTGCTAATACATTCACAAATGCAAATAGAAAACAAAAAGGGCTAGCCTGGGCTACCACCTTTTAATTCAATACAAAATTGTAAATATACACAAAAACTTACGAAGAAATCCTCTCAATAACATCAGGTATTTTATGTACCAGTTGATTAGTGTTGCTCTTCTGTTTTAGAGTTCCATTGACACTGCATTGTATGTTCAACGTTTCAGGGTCACCAAGTTCGTCTGACGTCACGATCCAGGGACCAATTGGGCAGAAGGTATCCATAGCCTGGAAAGATGAGTAAATATCATCTAAGTTACGCCTATTCGTGCACAAGGGGATGACATAAGAGTTGGGCTCCACTTAGAGTCAGCCTAAGCGTACTGAAGTACCGAGACCGTATAGAGTACACACGTTTACCATGGACGAAGAGTTGAAGCGTGCGTGCGAAAAAATAGAACACATGTCCATGTGTTCTATTTTTTTATATGTAACTAGCAATTTTAATACTTTACTAAGGTAGTAAAAAGCTCTTAAAATTGTAAGTAAAATATACCTATTTAGTTTTTATATTTTTATTATATTACCTTTTTCATTTTTCGAAATTATTAGGATAATATTATTTATTAATTTATTTTTATTGTCTTTGATAATTATCATGGTAATTACCACATAGTTCTCCATGAAAATTAGCAATAATTATCCATGCTTGTTCATAGTTTCATCATCATCATAATTTTGCCTCTTTAATTTTTGACTAAAAATGACAAATAATGAAAAACTAAATAAACACGTAGAAAAAAACTTTGGTAAAACGATTTGGCTTTCGATTTTTTTGAGACTGACATTTGACACATTTGGATACGTCTGATAATAATAATCATTAGCATTAGCTAGCGGTAGCATTTTGTAGTTCCAATTTTAACTTTTAACTGCCTCTGTGGCCGAACGGTTGCCAAGCCGGACTGCCACGCAGAGGTCCCAGGTTCGATTCCCGGGCCGGGAGAAGTATTTGTATGGCCTGCATTTATTTCTATCGTGAGTTTGGGTGTAATTTGTGGTTGTCTATGTGTGTGTCCATGGCACCCGCGACACAGGGTTTCCCTAGTGCGGGGCCATGTTGAGTGTGTGTGTTAAAAAAAAAAGAAAAAAAAAATTAAATATGGAAATATCAAGATATATCAAGGTGTATTTAGCAAGATAATTATATGATAATTATCAATGATATTTACCTACTTTATACGCATTGCTGGAAGTTTAGGTACCTAAATACACTCGGCCTCTAAAGATTACCTTGCCAAGCAGAAATTGTCCACCGTTCTTCTCTTTCTGCCAGTCTCTGGCACTGATGTCTTGTGCAACTGTAGCCCCGAGGATGTAGTCTTTTGCATTAGCCGCCTTTACGTTACTCGCTGTTTTGCCGATAACTAAGCATAGTTCCACTTCCCAGTCCACTTTCTGGTAAAAATAAAGAAGTATAAGTTTAATATAGCGTGAAATTACTACATTCTGGTGATTTACGTAATAATAATAAATTATCTTTCAAGAATATGTTGCGCAAGCACCTGTTTGACAAATGACAAATTCAAAACTCATGTTGCTGTGACTACGTATTATATACTATTGTAATATATGTATATGTAGGTTTATAATAAATGTTTATATTATGTTATTTATTTTATACCACACAAATTATCGATTAGCTTATACATAGCATATTTTTGTTCTTCTTGTTTAAGTGTAGCAACAAAGCATTGTTTTTTTTGTTTGGCCCAATGGTTGACTGGTAGAAAATGCCTTACGGCATTAAGTCCGCCAATTTACTTCATTGTATTGTAAATTTAATTTATTTTCTAGTAATATTACAGACTCATATAGTTTAGTAAAAACACTTATGTCGTCTTAGAATGAATACCTTTTAATTTTTTCTTTCATTTTTTATTCTACTACAGCTTAGAATAAAATAAAATTTAGGGATAAAATCGCTCAGTGTAAATAACGAAATCTATTGCTTATTTAACAACGTGTACTCCCCGTTCCATTTTAGTGAATAATGAGCCTTAAGTGTAAATGGCTTTAAATCATATATATGTCGCTCTCAATCTGTTTGTGTGTCATAAGAAAAAGCTAGACAAACCTAATGTGATACCATCATATAATTCCATCTTCCTGCCCACCTACGCATGATTACGGGTCTCAATTCGCTGCAGTAATTGACCTCAATTTGAGACGTGCTGAGGCCAGGGGGACCTCTGATTCATGACACGCATTTTTGACCCTTGTTCGTCAGGTATTTATTGAATTCGAAATTGTACACCAATTATGTGGATCTCCACAACCGATCTCGGTTGATATCAATTAGGCATACATTTCTTGATCACAAATAAGACATTGTAATATAGATTTGAAGGCTTGACGTGTTTCGGGTTTTTCTGAAAGTTATAATATCAGAAGAATAAAAAGTCAAGGCGTGAACTTTTTATTCTTCTGATATTTCAGATCGATGTCATGTTTATCTAGGCAGGTAGGTACAGGGTCAAGAGCACGTCAAGCTTGACACTAAAGGTTTAAATTTAACTCTATGCCGCTTGCAATATGAACGGTCCAAAGTCCAAAGTGTCAAGCTTGATGTGCTCTTGACTGTACATATTATGTGAAAGTCATACTGTGATAAGAAATTTGTAACTCGTGATTATCATAGAAGATTCATACAATGAATACAAAAGGTCAGTTACATAAAGGTTATTTTTATGTGATTGTTTTTTGTTATAAACCGACTTCAAAAAAGGGAGGAGGTTCTCAATTCGACTGTATTTTTTTCGTGTGTATATATTACGATTACTCTGACATTTATGAAGCGATTTCCATGATTCTTTATTTGTTGGAAATGAGGTACCTCATCAAGATTTAAATTTGAAGAAAATATTCACCTCTATGGGTGGGAACTTAGGGGATGAATTCGACTTATTTAATTTCACCCACTTTCTATTCACCGATTTAAATAAAACTTGGCGCATAGATGTAATTCCATTGAAACTACAATGTTAAGGTGACAGGTTGGAACTCTTCAACAGTATATTATAGCAGCTACCTTGTGTTTAGGCTGATATGATACGTTTTGATGAGGACTTCCATATGCGTTTAAGTTATCGTTGAGACCGCGGATAAACAAACTTTTGAGATCGATTTTTTTTTATAAAAAGTTATATTATTGTATAAGGTTACTTTACATGTACGACTTAATTATAAATCCATATAATTTCAAAATAGATATTATTGTGTGAAGAAATAATAGAAGCGCAGCGAACGAAGCCATCACGGGCGGAATTACTCGGAATTTGAACTAGCATAAAAATACATTATACAGAAATCCGAATGTGGAACTGTGGAAATAGAAAAATAAGAAAGAGCATGATGTTAATATTCCCGTAGTTATTTTTTAGGACGAGCTATATTAATAAGTCTGACACGTGTTTGTTGTGATGTTGTTGTGACGATCTCCGTAGTCGAGTAGGTTGCACACCGTTTTTCATCGTGTCGCCATCTCTGAGGTCCCGGGTTTGATCCCCAGCCAGGTCAATGTAGAAGAACTAACTTTTCTATATTGTTTCGGGTCCGAGTATTTGTGGTGCCGTCGTGGTTTCCGATTTCCATGGCACAAGTGCTTCAGTTACATACTGTGGGGTCAGAGCAACGTATGTGATGTTATCTAATATATATTTTTCCTATATCACAGAGCATGCGCAACTTTGTTTTTTGTAGCTACGACCATTTCTTTGCGTCACGTAAAAATCCTCTACCGAACAGTCCCGTTAGTGGGCGCCGGACCTTATACAAGCTTTTTAGAGTCACTTACCCGTGTAACATTCGTCCTTAACTTTACTGCATCACAAGGTCCGACAACGCAGCTGGCAAACTTGCCGAATATCATTGGCACTGCAGGAGGTGTCAACTTCTGTTCCTCGCAATGATCTTTGTAGTTCAAACCGATGCATAAAACTTTATCCATGCCTGTGATTGGCGCTTGCAACGTCACGTCGCTGAAAGGTATGGTGGCTGGAGACTTTGATTTGAGTCTGGAGAAGAATTGAGGATGTAAGAAGTTTAGTCCAATAGTACGACATAATAGGTGGTGTAGTCACATGCACTGATTTTTGGGTATTGATAATTGGGAATTTAAAATGTTAAGGTGAAATAAAACATGTTACATAAAAAACAAACGCCAATAGGATACTGCGTAAGTAATCTTTAGCATTTTAAAGCAATTTTTGTAAAAAAACGTTTAAATTCCAAAATAGACTTAATAGGTCCTGTACCTACTTTTCACCTACAGATATCACCGCTGCTTTTCGATAATACATAACCGCAGGTTACTTGATAGTTACTACGTAACAGATACATCACTCTCATACAAAATCGAAAATACCTACGCATGACTAATGACACCAGACGCGAAAGACGAACCTAAGCACGCGCTCAGAAAGGTGAAAATAAAGTAGTCCGCCCAGGTGCAGTAGTGCGGAACCGAATGCCGGCGTTGTATAAGGATTGTAACGTAAATGACAGATATGTGCTTGCACTGTCGGCGATACACTCATCGGTAGGCACTTATCGCTTAACCTCGAGCGAGAGACGGAGCCCTGATTATGATTAGGTTTATGTTATGAAACCTAATGATAATGTGCCTGACGACCACACCGATTGCCTGGTCTCAAACTAGGGAATTCCTTGTACTATGAAAACCACAGTAATGGAACTCACTCTGGGGCACTTTCCAGAACACCCAGACCAGAACCAATTTAGAAGAGTCCATTTCCTAAATTGGTCCTAACGGAAATCGAACTCGGGACCTCCTCATCCAGTGCCCACGATGTAAACCGCTGAGTTCAACAAAATAGTTAATGTTGCCCTGTTTTATTGCACAGCTGTGTGCTCAATAAATTTCATTTCGGCGTCGAGACATGGGTGCACACAGAGGAATGCATGCATAAAATCAGAGTAGCTCAAAGGGCAATGGAGCGTGTCATGGTCGATATTTCTTTCGTCGACCGTATACCCAACGTGGACATACGACAGCGTACAAATTACAAAAATATATGTCGGTATGCGGATCGCGAGCCTAAAATGGAGATGGGCAGGACAAGTGGCTAGGCGGGACGACGACTGATGGACCAAGGCGGTCACTGAGTGATATAATGAATATAATATAATATAGTGAATAGAGTCAAGATTAGTTTTTGCTGCCGTGCCCCAAACCTCAATGAGGTAGTCTATGTGAGGTTTAACAAGGGAATTATATATTTTATATCTAATTTTGTGTGGGAGACATTTGACGATGTACATTTGACATAAGAGATGTCAATTTAGATTTTATTTTATTAATATGTTGTTTAAACGTCGTACAACTATCTAGTACCAGACCAAGGTATTTTTCACTGTTATTTTTTGAGATTGATTGATTATTTATTTTAAGAGGATCGTGTCTTGTTATCTTTTTATTTTTGGCTGTAAAGATCATGTAACTTGTTTTTAAAGTATTTATAGTCAATATATTGCTTTGGAACCAAGCATTCAATAACTTTAGTTCATTTTGAGTATCCTTTATTACATCATCTACTGAATGTCCGAAATAAAAAAGACTAGTGGCAAACAATGTTATATCACCTTTTAACCCTATTTCTTTGATGCTGTTTATGTAAACAAGGAATGGTAATGGTCCCACTATCGAACCTTGAAGCACGCCGAAGGTAATCATTTGTGTCTCGATTTGCTCTGATCCAATTTTAACTATCTGATAAAGGTTTGATAAATAACTATATTTGTAATTTTCGGTATCTGATCTACTACCTGATTTATAGATGGGTGTAACTTTAACGATTTTCAAGCTATCAGGAAATACTCGTTGATTCAAGCAATTATTGATACAATTGGCAAGTACATAGACTATTAGACCCTTAACGCATTTTATGTGCTTTGTGGTCATCCCATCTAGACCAGCGCTCGTGTTAGGTTTTAAATTATTTATAATTTTCGCGATCTCTTGCAATTTGTAATAAAACAGCAAACTGGAGCACGTGGCTCCAGTTTACCGTTCCATAATCACGCTATTGCAATTTTTTTTGTCTTGTTTTGAAATTTGATTTGCTAGGATTGAACCAACATTCAAAGTCAAAGTCAAAGATTATTTATTCCATATGTAAAATAAATTTACACTTGAAAACGTCACATTTAAGCTACTGCTCGTTCACTACGCTGACCTCCCTGAGAAGAACGAGCAAGAAACTCTAGGGATTGCTCTTTTCAAATAAACTTAAATGCTATGGAATACACTTTGAATCAAATTTGTGTGGATTCTGGAGCCATGTCATCTTTCCATACATCTTTATCTAACACGTAGTCTTCAATTTTGTAATATGATTTTTCGATCAAAATATTTTTAATGTAGTTTTTAAACTTAGGAAATGATAAACTTACTATATGCTCCGGAATCTTATTGTAAAAACGTATACAGTTCCCCATAAAAGAGTTGTTTACCTTGGTTAAACGAAATCGTGGTACCATGAGTTTGGATTTAGCTCTAAGGTTAATATTATGGATATCTTCTTTCTTATTGAAATTATGTATATTTTTACGGGCATATAAAATATTTGAGTAAATGTACTGTGATGCCACAGTCATGATACCAGTCTCCTTAAACTTTTCTCTGAGAGATACCAGAGAGCCTAGACGGTACACAGAACGAATCGCTCGTTTTTGCAATACAAATATGGTTTGAATATCTGCCGCTTTACCCCACATGAGAATCCCGTAGGACATTATACTATGGAAGTAACTAAAGTAAACTAGTCTAGCAGCACTAACATCGGTAAGCTCACGTATTCTGCGGACTGCGTATGCAGCGGAACTTAATCTGCTGGCCAGGGACGATATATGTGGAAACCACTGAAGTTTACTATCTAAGGTCACTCCCAAGAAGACTGCTTTATTAACAAGGTCTAACTTTTCTCCGTTTATTTCTATGCTTGGACTAGTCGATTTTACGTTAGGTAATTCAAATTTAACACATTTTGTCTTCTTGGCATTAAGCAATAAATTATATATAGTATTATATATAATAGTTAATGTCATGTCATGTCATGTTTTAAAAATCAAGGATGTGTCATCAGCAAACAACACTATTTCGCAATGGTCCTTAACAAAGAATGGCAGATCATTAATATAAATCAGAAATAAGAAAGGTCCAAGTATTGAGCCCTGCGGAACACCCATTTTTACTGGAGAACCAAAGAAGTCACTCCATTTATGTCTACTTTCTGAATTCTACCGTTGAGATATGACGAGACAAGTTTCGACGCCTTGCCATTTACACCGTAATGTTCCAGCTTCCTAATAAGAGTATTATGATCAACGCAATCAAATGCCTTTGAGAGGTCACAGAAAACACCAATAGCGTTCTGGGACCCTTCCCAAGCATCAAAGATGTGTTTTAGTAACGCTACCCACGCATCGCTAGTCGATCTACCACTAGTAAACCCGTATTGTTCACTATGAAAAATATGATTCCTACCGAAATAGGACAGTAATTGAGTTAGCATAACCTTTTCGAATATTTTACTTAAAGCTGGTAAAATTGAAATGGGCCTATAGTTGCTAGGATCAACTTTCCTACCGCTTTTGAATAAGGGAATAACATTGCTGTATTTCATTAAATCGGGAAAAACACCTTCGTCAACGCACCTATTGATAGCTACAGCTAACTGTGGGGAAATGAGACTAATAACTGAGTCTATAACTTTAGTTGACATGCCCCAGAGATCTTCAGTTTTTTTAACATGTATTGACTTAAAAGCTTTTATGATGTCTTGTGGATTAACATGACGAAAATTAAATAAACTGCCACAAACGTTAACATTTTCCTTTAGGAGATCAATAGCAAGTGAAGGGGAGGAATTTAATGATTTTGTAGTGTTCACAGCAATTTCCGAAAAGAACGATTCAAAAGCTTGGGCTACTTTATCTTTAGATTTTATAAGTTTGCTGTCTAATTCTAAAACTATACCTCTATCGTGTAGTTTAACCCTGCCTGACTCTTTATTTATTATGCTCCAAGTAGTTTTAGATTTATTTATCGATTGTCTAATTTTGTCGCTGTGAAACTTAACCTTTTTGTGTAGCTGCTAAGCTACACAAACTTTTTTAAATATTTTCGAATAAATTCTAACATATTCTATGAAATTGGAATTAGTATTATAAGTTTTCATAGCATATAGCTCATACAAACGAGACCTACTCTTATGAATACCTACTGTTGCCCAGTCATTGAATTTAGTCTCTCTATGGAAAGTTAATGTTTTCGATTTAAATATATTGTCAAATTAATTTTTAATTAAACCAAATATCGTGTTATATAAAGTATTTGGATCCTCCGGTATATGGGATAGGGAATTTAAACTATTGCCGATATTGTTTTGAAATCTAATTATTCGTTCTGTGGTAATTGGTCTGCAGAGAAATTGGTCTACCTGCTTGCTCATTTTACAATTAAAAGAAGCCAATTGGCCACTATGGTCGGATCTTAAGCAATTTATTATTGATTTAGAAAGAAGGAAAAAGCTATTTTAATAAACATTCACAGATTGACTTTGTATTGGTTATATTTTTTCCTTCTGAGGACTGTAATTTATTTGCAGGTGAAGCTTATAATGATAACAAGAGTTTCCACATTTTTGCTGCAATGTGTTTACATCCGTTTTATTTTACAATTTTATTTTTAATGCCTGCAAGACAAATGTTTTTCTTAGTTTTGAGGCCCACCATAAAACTATCAAAATTAATTTATACATATCAAACATTTTTTATGTAGCTTAGAACAGATTGAAATATCCATTGATTTAATATATTTTATATATCAGAGAAATGGAATCAATCATTGCAAAAGATGACTGGATAGATTTTTTGCCTGCTGCTTTTGCAAATTTAAAATATAATTTAAATACACGCCTATTTTATAGACAATCATGAAAGATTCTTAGGAACTGATATTCTTTGACAAGATCAACTTCACTATAGCAAGTAAAGTTTTCTATAGAAAAATTGCTCTTAATTGTGTTTTAAAAAAGACTATTATAATAAAGACTGACTGTCATGTAGCCAAAAAAATTTTTCTACAGGTAGGTGTAATCCAGCTGAATCAAACGAATTTTTACTAAGTGTTCGATCTTTGTATTAATAATTATAACAAACTAGTGGAGTAATTTCATAAAAATAATTGAATAACAATTCAATGCAAATTTAAGCAAATCTAACTGATAATTGCAAGAAGAAGCCTCGAAGATCGAGAAGAAGAACTTACAAATGATGTATTTTATAAGTTCTATTTTAGATTCAAGATTTCTACAAATTTTTAAACCCAAATATATTTTTATACCAAATATATGTATTTATATTCAAATACAACGAACATATTAGTTTTAAGAAAGGTTTTTCATTACCTTACATGAGGTATTTAAACTTGCTCGTCGATTTGCACTTTAGAAACGATAAAACACTGTGTCGTAAGTCAGGAATATTTTTTCTAATATACCCATGTTACAATAAATGTTGATAGTATAAATTGTACACCATTAAACTTAAAATCTATTAGTATTAAGAGAATTGTGTCTTATGTATGTAACGCTTTAATAATTTGGTTTTAAAATTGTTTTACCAAGAACAGCTATCACGGTCTATAATGGTAAGTTGTTACAATTTAATATTTTTTGTGTCTTTTAATAAAGCCATTGTATTTGCCTTCCAATAAAACAAAATTACAAATTTAGATCGAAAGTTATCATTGGCATTGAATAATGTACATAAATTGATGTGCAAATGTAGGAACATAAATTAAATGGGCTGTTCAAAAGGACTCTCTCCATAACCTTATACTGACTGTGCTCCCTGTATGTCTGACTCATCCTGGGTGTCAATCAGCTAATATGTCTACACTCTATGGCACATCCTTTCACTACAATGACAATTTAACTTAATAAAGATTGAAATTTGTGGAAAAATTATATTCATGCAGGTGTTTAGATATCTGGAGTCAGCACAAAACGGCTATACTATGCTACCATACAACATTTTCATGTTACTTATACTAAAAAATTTGTTTCAAAAATTACTTTGATTAAAAGAGCAACCCCTGGAGTTTCTTGCTCATTCTTCGCAAGGGACTCAGCCTTACGAATGAGCAGTAGAGTTTAATTAATGTGCCGATTTCAAGTGTAATTTGCTTACTTAAGGGAGAGTGCCCACCAACTAGACATACATGTATCATTATTATATTATAGCCGAATCATTCAAAAAGAAATTTTGGATTGATTTTCAACACAAAAATAAAAAAAATATGATTAAATTAAAACACGAACTATTCATACAAACAGTAAAAAGATTGCTAGATTTAGCAGACAGGTTCTTGTCAGTGGAGTAATCACCAATCATCTTTGTTCATCACCCCACACTATTACATGTTTATTGGTAGAGCTGACTTTTGATATCTCATATCAACAAATATGGAACAATACTGATAAGGAAAATAACATATTATAAAAAAGCATTTTATTATGTTCAAAAGAAAATAAGTACTTACTGCTTAACTTTCTCAATACCATCACGTTTCAATATCTCTAAAAGCGTAACCGGCAATGTAGAATCAGCCTTGTTTATGTCCACAACTTTATCACCGTCCACATATCCAGCTCTGATTTCATTAGGGTTGCTTTTATAAGAAAACTGTATTAACTTCATGTTTCTACTTTGAGTTACAGAAAAATGTCTTACCGCAGTGAAAGCTAAAGAATTATTGACAATTTCTCTTGCGAAATACGTTTTTAGGCCTGTTACCGCGCGGCCAGACACGAGAGATATAACACTCATGGTCAAGGTGAAATATAACGTCACGAATTTGTTTCGAGAATTACGTAAACAATTGTATAAATTATTACGTAACAAGCGTAACTCTTCTATTAATGCAGTACAAAATTAAACTCACGTTGTTACATAGTAAATTTGATTAAACTAATACACATAAAACAGTACTCTGCCCGCGAAAGGTATTTAAAATTCATTTATCAGCTGTTATCAGGACAGGTGCGCTCAGTATATTGATATAAATTCATTCTATGGTTCAAAGAAAATGACAAATGGCTAAGAACACGATTAGCCTGTTGTGTATATTTTGGACTATTCAATTTGAAATTTATAGGAAGACGTAAAAAAATAATAAATAGTAAAGAATCATGAAGCAAAAATAAATATTATGTGGGTCACCTTAGTCTTGTTCCAGCACAAAATTTGTAAAGGTATTTGAACAGGATTCTTTGACAGCGGAACTGTTATTATTTTTGCAAAGGCAACAGCTATGACAGGTTCAGCCTATTTAATTACCAATAGAATGTGTACATACCACTTTCATTTTAGTAGTTAGTACTTTAGTAATTCTGAACATTTTATGTTAGGTTAGGCACAGAGTCGAAGCGTCGAGTCTGCGCCAGTGTGAGTGGACACATTTGTTTAGTTTAAAATAAAAATCCACCGATACAATATACATTATTTTATTATTCTACAATTTTTAAAGAACTTCGGCTGGTTATTTTGGCGGTATAGGTTTCATTCTAGTAATTGAAAACTCATCCCTAGTGTGGTATGAATTGTAAGGATCATCTACAAAGTGTTTAGGTCGCTTCCAATACTTTGTCACCATTTTATCCAGCAGAGTAGATTGTGTAGCATTAGTAAATACATGCTGCCTTAAGCGTCTTCTGTTGGGTGGAGATTTTTTCCACAATTTCTTATGTCTGCCTACCATAGGCCTGATCCATATACCCCAGTTCAATCTGAAGAATCTTCTTGTCACCGCCTTCACGGTCTTCCTTTTACCTTTGTTAATACTGAATTTAGTCACTGTTCTTATCGGAACAGGCACTAATTTGTTTGAAATGGCCAGAATCTGTTTATTGTTAACCAAAGAAGTTTTGATTCTGATATCTACATTACTAAAAACTTTGTTTAGCGTGGAATAGCTTCTGAACTCATTGCTTATTATCCTGGCAGCATTGATGTAAGATTTCGAAAGAGATCGTATACTCCGTACAGCTGAAAAATAAATTAGATAACCTCAAACCAAGCAGTCAAAACACTTCACAATTTTATTACGAAACAAAAACTAAAGGCATATTAAGGAACTGAGTACATTAACATATGTAAGGTATATACAGAATAATAATAAAATTAAGTGTTTTATGTATACCAGAAAGAGCAAAGCGAAACATTTTCAAGTTTTCAATTCAGACATTTGTCTTTTTAATGAGTGTGACATAAATAGTGCGGCGTATACGAAATTTTTATTCTGGACTTGAATCATTTAACCATTTCCATTAAGATTTATTCACAAGGTTTTTCTTTATGGACCATGGTGTTACGCACTAGTGTTTTATACTCTGTGCATATATCTACCACACGACTTTAGTCTCTGGATTTTGACAGCCCGAGGTGGAAAGAGATTCGTGCCGAAAATGTTAAAAATTTCGAATCATTTGGCTAATTCAAGTTTAGTTCTGGTGAGTACTTGATTATCTTTTAATTTACTACTTACTACGTTGGGGAGTGCAGTGAATATATGTACAGTAGGTCTCAATCGTGTGCCTCTGATAGTAGCCTGTCTTTCTATGTTTTGATGATCTTACTGTCTGTTTTGTGCTAAAAATAGGCGAAAAAGTTACCGAAATATCTTCTAAAACTTTCTGTTCATTGCTACATCGAGTAATACAAACGTAAACTTTGTATTATTGTACCTTACATAACATTCATTGAACGTCATTTTCGTGAATAACCTATAAAAAATCAAAATACTAGGAAGGGGTACGAGGTCATTATCAGACAAGACCGCTTATCAGATTACGTCTAGGTCTAACAAAAATTAGAACCAATATTTCTGTATACTCCAAACATTGTTGTTTATTGCTTGTACCATAGTTACCTTTAGAACACTTAGCCCTGAAAATTGAAATACATTAGCACATTTATAATATGTGTGTACATAATATATGTATCAATGTCGAGCTATAATTAGCATGTCACATATCACCTGAACTGCATGTTGAAAAATACCTACAGAGTAGATAACATTACAAAAAACTATATACCATATACTCATACTCTTAACTCAGAGTACCTTTTGGCATAGGGCACTTCCAGATCTTTTCAGTGAGTTCTATCAAGAGCTACTCTTCTCCAATGGGGATTAGCAGTCAGCTTCAGCTCATCTTTCCATTTTTGATGCTGACATCCCCTATTTTCTATTGTATAATATATGATCCTCTATTAATTGTATATGATTCTACATTATATTCTATGATATGTTAGAAATTGTAAATGTAAGTCATAGATAAATAAATTATAAGATGAAAAAATATATGACAGTCACTGATGTGATGGAAGGTGCCTAAATTTTGTTAGAATAACTATCAATGACAATAAAAATGGTTTTTCACTATTATTATTGTATTGTTATAACACTCCAGGTTAGGAAACAACTTGGTGATGGATCGACTGCAGCAGCACTTATACTCATGCGAACACCAAGGCGTCGGTATGCTTTGGGGTCAGAGTCACAATTCAAAGAGACATGCCCGCCTCCACCACCTCGGAAGCAGTCGAGAAGACTACTCTTCACCGCAATTGGTGCCACCATTTTGACTGGGTCTGCTATAGTTTATGCAAAGTACGTAAAATTGAAAATTATTTTTGAGGTACAAATATATTTCTAAGTGTTAAGGATGTTAGCCAACAAAATGACTTTGTTTCGCCTCAAGAAAATAGCGTAGCTTCATGCTACGCGATGCTACACTATTTTCTCATACAATACAATGTGAAAATTCTTTTTGTCATGTTGCTACAATTTAAGGTCTACATTATTATTCATATCTTACAGACACAGCCCAGAGACGCGAAACTGGCTTGAAACAAATGCCCCTTGGGCCCACAACGTAGTAGCCATTGTGTACCAGGAGAACGAGACATACTGGGACTTTACATCCAAACAATTTTCCAAAATATACACATCTATAAGTGACTTTATGTTTGGAAAGGTAATATAGTATAGCAGAATAGAAATTGAGGGACACATAGTAAATAGTAGGGTTGTCACATTATTAGTTTTTATTATGGTATTCATTACGTTACGTTATTCTCTTGCTATTAAAATAATCATATTGATATTTTTATCAGAATCTTGATTATGAGAGTATGAGCATCAAATAGAATTGAAATCGAGTTTGTATATATAACATTGTAATTACAGAGTGATTGCTTCAATTCTATTATGAATGGCACATGCAACTAAAGTATGTCATGGGATTATTTGAATAGGTACATGCGTGCATACGAGCTGCATTGTTAAATTTGTGTGTACTTACACAACTTTTCTATACTTTATATTGGATATTCACCTATTATTTTGTAAAATCGAAGTGGGTGCTTTAAAATTTTAGAAAATAGTCATTATGTAGACTAAGAAAGTGTTTTAGAACGAGCATGAAACGGGCACAACATGCCATGCATATCAAATGCGTGTAATAATAATGAGTGCCTTAAGCTATACCTTACTGAAAATTATGTTTTTATGCAGTCTTTGGATAATTTGAAGAAATAATAGATGGCCTAGAAGTTCATAACATAGTGATAAGTATGTGTATGTTATTATTTGTAGAGTTTGATCTTATTTGAATTTAAATCTCTATAATGTATTTGCGGTTACGGCCAGCTGTCATAAGGGCAAAAACTGATATTATGACCTCTACAGTACTATAAGAATATACATAT